AGCAAGAAAGTCAATTTTTCTCACTTCGCGGGAACCACCACCAAAGGTCATGTCTTTGCACCTAAGCTCCGTTTCATAAGGGAGGAGGAGATTCTGGCGGACCTCAGAGCTGAAATTTTTGTCATGTTCCGACGGCTGACCACGTTCCGAAATGGACTGCGTCAGGACACCAGCTTACTTGTTTTGACTCTTGGAACCACCCGCCTCCCAGAGGTTCTCACAGCTGGCTACCTCTGATATAAAGTCAGGGTATTCATACCCAATCCATTCAGTTACTTCAAATGTCAAGGGTTTGAACACGACCGCAAGTTCTGCAAGCAGAGCGCGATGCCTAACGTGCGGCAAGACCACTCACTCCCGAGGAGCAGTCTGCGCTCACATCGCCCCCCAAAATTCCTCAGCTGTGGGACTGCCGATCACAGTGCCAACTGTTCTCAGCGCCCGACACGCGAAAAGGATAAAATAGATCTCCTCCGAAAAGGCCAAGACTGGTGTCTTTTATCTCCCGGCACGACGCACTGTGGAGGCAAACATGCTTTTCTCCTTCCACAAAAGCATACATGCAAGCAATAAGAGTAAAAGTTGCGGCATGTGGCTCACAGACAGCACCGATTTCCCAGTACCTCCGCTCAAAATTATCGCTCCACTCAACACTGTTTCGGTCACATCTAACACACAAACCCAGCAAACCTGTTCCCTCGAGCCACCCCTGGCCAGGCGCGTTCGCACGCGCAGCCCTCCACACCCTCCCGCCCCAGGCCGGCTGGCGTTCCAGCCCGCCAGCTACGCATGGTTCGCAAGCGGCTCAGACTGCCCTGCATCCGAGCTCTCCAGCCACGAACGGTCGGCAGCCGGGTCCCTCTGGCCACTACACGAACGGCCCTTCCTTCGCGTTTCCCAGCACAACACCTGCGTCTGGGAAACCAGAGGTACGGGATTCGATTCCCCGCGGTGCCCGCGCTTCCTATCAGGGTGAGAGGCAGGCGACGTCATACAGGTTCAGTGGCTGAGTGCGTTAAGTCCCAATGACAACACCTGCCGTAACACACCCGGACGAAGACCGCCGGTCTCGTCCGCCAGTGAGGGTGGCGATGGGTCGGCCACGGTACGTTCCGTTCGGCTGATTCCCAGCAACCGGTGAAGACGGGTCCATTCACCATTGAATGCCCTGAGTCTTACAGTGAAATTGCCACATTCTTATTACAAAACGGTCTGAAATAAAAACACTTTGCAGTATTACCTCCCATCCTCATCGCCGTACAGGAGACAGGGTTTCGTACAAACGTCCACACAACTTTAAATGCCAAACCATTCCTCATGTCATGGTGACGAGACAGGCGGTGAACGTCGCCAAGGCGCTGTGGCGCTGTATATCAAAAATGAAATCACACACATGCACCTTTCACTCACCACACCTCTCCAAGCTGTTGCATATTCTGTGGAACCTCGTAGCCCCAACACCGATGTGTGATGTTTGTACATCCCCCAGTTATGATAAAGTGGAGCTCTCACGGCAATTTCACCACCTAGTTACACACTTCCGCAACCCTTTCTTATCCTCGGCGATTTCAACGACCACAGCCCAGCTTGGAGTAACGGCACTCAGGCTGTCAATCGCGGAGAACATTTGGTTAACGATTTTATTGCCTCAAAACGTAGTTATGCTAAACAAAGGGAAATATCTTTACCACCACTCACGCGGGGGCACAGAAGCCACCACCGACGTGTCACCGTGCTCTCCCTCAATGGAGACTCTTTGATTGGGCTGCTGAGGGAGATATGCACGACAGTGACCAGTTCCCAGTTCGAAACTTTGCACCGCTTTTGATCCAGCCGCTGAAGCAGCTTCGTGATTCATATCTCGCTGGAATTCACTAAAAGCAGCCTGGGCCGAGTTTCAGGAACTTTGTTCGGTCAACCACGATCGTTACGAATCACCAGAGCAGAGTGTTAACCTTATTGCCCATATTATTCATGCTGCAGCGACCTCGACAATCCTACTGACTTAACCTGCATCGCGGCGCGTCCCAGTACCGTGGGACAGTACCATTAAAGGAAAAAATGTTATTGCACGTCGGAAACGCGCCTTCCTCTTCTTTCAGAGGCATTACGGCGAAACACATCTTGCCGAAAGTGGCGCCGATAGTGTAGTAGTTCACGCGTCTGGGAAACCAGAGGCTCGATTCCCCGCGGTGCCCGCCATTCCTGCCAGGGTGAGAGGCAGGCGACGCCATATAGTCTCAGCAGGTGGGCAAGTCGTTCAGCCTCAATGGCAACAACAGCCCTGCCCGATGTGATTGGACATGCTCGAAGCACGGCGAATTGTAAGGAATGCCAAAAGTCATTATTGACAGTTTATTCAGCAGTTCACTTCTGCTACTCCCGTGAGCCAACTATGGGGGACTGGTTCCAGCACTCTCCGGCAAACCCTTCTTTTCATTGTCCACTTCACGCATCAATCACCGATTATTTTGGCAACGCCTCATATCACCAATAATCTTGCTGAGAACCTTGCTCAGTTTGGCTCTTCCGTAAATTACCAAGCGGGATCCGGAAGTACCAAGCAGAATTTCTGGATCTTGTGGAAGTCCGTTTTTCCTTTCTTACCCTAACTGCTTGTTTTCGACAATGCAGAAATATAAGTTACCCTTTCCGATAGGGAACTCCCCAGGCAACTTAACACTGCCCGCAACACCTCGGCAGGCAATTCATCAATTATACCATTCTTTTTCCGTTATCTTTCGGACAACATGCTCACCTTCATTCTGCTGTGTTTGATGATCTGGCTCTGGACCACGTCTTTTCCGAGGCACGGAAAACACGTTCGTTATTCCCCTCCCTAAGCCGGTTAAGTACACGCAAAATCCCTCAAATTATCTCTCCACTGGCATACGATTTGCCTGAGAAAGTTTATTGAGCTGACTGTGGTCAAGCGAATAGCATGGCTAGTGGAAAATGACAGTCTTATTTCAGAAAGCTATGCAGATTTTGGCGCAATGTAAGTACAACAGAAGATATCGCACGACTTGAGACTAACCCTCGACGCTGCTTTAAACTTCTACGTCATACGACTGCCGTTTTCCCGCATATTAGCCGTGCCTACAACATTTACTTTATACCTGCATTTATTTTCACGCTCCATCAGCTGGGGTTAAGAGACCATTTATTTTGCTCATTTTCTCATTGGATTGCTTTCTGGCACGATATCATGTCGTGTGAGATGCGGCTCCACCGCTTCTGACACCCATTATCTAAGGAACGGCCTCCCACAGGGACTCTTCATTATATTGCATCGTGTTTCTTCATCACTTTTCTCTGACGACACGACGACGATTGACGACGATTCAGAGCGTTATAATTCATGACAATTACCACTAATCCGTCCGATTGTTTAACTGGTGCCATGACGAAATAAAAGGAGCACACCAGTCGCTTGGCTGTCACGTACTTTGATGATTGATGCCTTGCTCTTGGAGTCATTTCAACTATTTTTCTACAGCTTTCTTGAAAGGCATCGGCATGTTCCTGGCTATTCCGCTGCAGACGGTGTGACACCTTCTTGGAGCTTATTGTTACCGCGATGTCTTCATGAGGACAATAGACCCATCTTGGTGATTGTGGCTCTAGAGAGAGAACGTTGGCGCATGTTTGAATCACGCAAAACCTCTCGGTTTGGCATCGCATTTTCTTTGAAACTGACTTCCATGTTAAACTGTCCGAACACCTACAGAAGGTAGACTACACTGAATAGCTTGCGGTTGGTTGCATGCAGAGCAGGCGGATGTGGCAGCTCCTGGTACTGGTGTTGGCCCAACACGTTTACACGTTTGCATCTGCGCCGCGCTCGACGTTAAAAGTAACACCATTGTCTTGCATATTCAGCTTCACTACCCGCTTACCATCTAGTTCTGCTTCTAAAAGAAAACCATGTTCACCAGGCTCACCTCCCGTCGCTGACCTCGGCCACTCTCTTTGAACGACATGCTGCTGCGAAGTGATAGCGCTTGCGGTAGTTCGAGCAAACTCGACCTCTTGCTGGGCACTACTGAGGTGTGCCGGGGCGCGTGCGCCTGCAGTACCTGCACATGCCGTTCTGGTCCGCGTCCTTGAAGACGGCCGCCAACGCCTCTGCCCACGGCCGGGGTATACCTGCGATGTCTGTTGTTGACGACATCAGTCGCCCCGGAGTTATGCTGCAGCTGGCGGACCGCTCCGTGCTTCCGTTGGTGATGTCAAAGTCCCTCATCATGCTGATCACAGCATGCAATGTTACGTCTTCTTCGGCGGTTTGAGGTGGACTTTCCTCGATCGGTCTTGATCTGTCATCCCGGCGACCAAACGGTCCCTAATTATTCCCTCTCTGCCTGAAAAGTTGCCTTTGTCAGCTTGGACGAACCATGACCGGGTATACGTCTCATTTGACTCGCCTATGGTTTGGTTCCTAAATTCAAAGTTATGTCACGCCTCCACAAAGTTGCGTTTTGGGATAAAATGCCTATCCAGATTACTTATCATCGTGTCAAAATGGTGCGCTCTGTCTACACAAAGAGCGACGATTGCTTCGCATGCTCGACCTCGGGTCCCATGCTGTAGGTCATTGCCGATATTTGTACACCTTCTGTGTGGAGAGCTGATGCTAGCCTGTACCTTAAAACGCCCTCCAGGCTGGCCAGTGGGAGTTCGGTGGTCAAAACCTTGGCAAGTATGATCAGTTGTACGATTTGTTTTCGGCGCGTCTCGTCTCCCTAGAACCTGCCCCATTTTGCGGTGTTCAATGATTTGTGATCATTCCAATAAGAGCGACACGATCAGCATTTCTTTCCAAATCAGGAAAAAGACGCCTAGGACCATAAA